ACCTTTTTGTTCTTCGCCCCCTTTTTTCAAAAAAAAAAAAGAAAAACCAACTCTTTCTTTTTCCCCAAAACCAAGAAACCAAAAGCTGGTCTTCTCCCCCCAAAACAAGCCAAAAAAAAAACTCTTTTTTGTTCCTTTTTTTTTCCCGCTCCCCCCCCAAAAAAAACCAACTCTCCTCCCTCCGCAAAGACCACTCTCTCCCCAAACCAACTCTCCCCCACCAAGAACCAAACTCTCTCGGCCCAACCAACTGCTCTCCCCCAAGCAACCACATGGTTCTTCCCCCGCATAACAACTGCTCTTCCCCCTCAAACCAAAGCTGTCTCTTGCCCCAAACCAAACTGTCTGGGACCCCAAAACCAACTGTCTCCCCCCAAAACCAATGTTCTCTCCCCCCCAAACCAACTGTTCTCTCCCCCAAACCGACATGTCTCCCCCAAACCAAACTGTCTCCCCCCCAAACCAACCTGGTCTCTCCCCCAAACCAACTGTCTCCCTTCCCAAACCAACTGTCTTCTAAACCAACTGTTCTCCCTTCCCAACCAGACGTGTGCTCTCTCTCTCTCTTCGCTCTCCTCGCCCTCATAACCATATACTTGGGTCTCCTCCGTCCCTTCTCAATGAGATAATAGGTCGTAGTATCTCCTTGTTCTTCCCCCTCTCTATATACCAACTGCTCTTCGCCGTGATCCAAACCAATCTCTCCCTGCCTCCCCTTCCCCTAAATTTCCAACCTCTCCCCTCCCTATAAGCCTTAGACTTCTCTCGCCTCGCTAAAGACCAACTGTTCTCCCATCCCCCGTGAAACCAAATTGTCTCCCCCCCAAACCAACTTGTCTCTTCTCTCCCCAATACCATACTGTTCTCTCCCTCATAACCTATGATATCGCTCTTTCCTCCTTCCAAGTATCCAACTGTCTTCCCCCAACCAACTGTCTTCCCCCCAAAACCAACTGTCGCTCCCCAAACCATCTCCACAAACCAACTGGTCCTCCCACCAACCAACTGATCTGCTCCCCAAACCAACTGTTCTCCCCAAACAGCTGTCTTCTCCCCAAACCCAACTGGTCTTCTCCCCAAACCAACTGGGTCTCTCCCCAAAGCCAACTGTCTCTTTCCCCCAAACCAACTGTCTCGTCCCACCAAACAACTGGCTCTCCAAACCAACTGTCTTCTCCCCCCCAAACCAACTGCTCTCTTCCCACCAAACCAACTCGTCTCCCCAAACCAACGTCTTCTCCCCAAACCAACGGGTCTCTCCCCAAACCAACTGGTCCTTCCCCCAAACCAACTGTCTTCCCCCAAAACCAACCTGTTCTTCTCCCCCTAAACCAACTGGTCCCTCCCGCGCCCAAACCAACTGTCTCTCCCCAAAGCGCGATGGCTCTCCCCCGAGAACCAACCTGCTCTCTCCGCCCCAAAACCAACTCTCGCCCCCCAAACAACTGGTCTCTCCCCCAAACAACTGTCCTCTCCACCAAGACCAACTCTCTCCCCCAAACCAACGTGTCGTCTCCCCAAACCAACTGTCATCTCCCAAACCAACTGTGCTCTCCCGAAACCAACTGTCTCTCCCCGAAACAACTGTGCTCTCCGCCCCAAACCAAGCTATCTGCCCCCCCAAACCAACTGTCTCGTCGCCCCCAAACCACATGTTCTTCGCGGGCCGCCCCGAAGAACCGAACTGGGTCTCTCCCCCAAACAAGCTGTCTTCTCCGCCAACCAACTGTGGCAAACCAACTTGCTTTTGCCGCCAAACCAACTGTCTTCCCCAAAACCAAACTGTCTCTTCCCGGCCAAAAACTGTCTGCTCCCCCAAACCAACTGTCTCTCCCCCAAACCAACTGTCTCCCCTAAACCAAACTGTCTCCCCCCAAACCAAATGTCTCCCCCCCAAACCAACTGTCTCTCCCCCAAACCAAATGTCTCTCCCCCAAACCAAATGTCTGTTTCATTTTGCATCTTAACCTAAGGACGTTTGTTTGTATTAAATACTAGAAAAATGTGAGGGCTGGGCGTGGTGGCTCATGCCTGTAATTCTAGTAATTTAGGAGGCCTAGATGGGAGGATCGCTTGAGCCCAGGATTTCGAGACCAGCCTGGGCAACAAAGTGAGACCCTGTCTCTAGAAAAAAATTCTTAAAAATAGCTGGGCATGGTGGCATGTGCCTATAATCTCAGTTACTCAGAGGGCTGAGGTGGGAGGATCACCTGAGCCTGCGAGGTTGAGGCTGCAGTGAGCCACGATCACATCACTGCACTCCAGACTGGGTGACCGACTGAGATCCTGTCTCCAAAGAAAAGAATAGGTCAGGTGTTATTTCTTAAATCTAGGTAAACAGCTCTTCATTTCCAAGCTATGCCCCGCTGCCCGATTTTCTCTCGTGTCCAGATGGGTCTGGCTTCCGACCCCCAGCCCAGAGTGAGGCTGTGTGTGCGTTGTCTACTCAGGGTGCTGGTTGTACTTTGCTGCCTGTGGTGGGACTGAGACCACAGTATTGTCACAGGCCTGCTTTTGTTTGCTGGGCAATTGGAATGTTTTCCAATACAACTTTCACCATTATTATTACCCCATTGGTGCTCTCACTGAAAATTCCTGCAGCAGGTCTCAGCGATGGGTTTCACTTCAGGGAGGAGGAGTCCCCGGGAGGCTGGCCTTGTGCTGCTGGGGACACGCTGGGTGTGGGGCCCCTGACCAGTGCCCACCACCCGAGTCTGCATGGTGCGGGGTCCCTTAGCGTGTTCCTAGGGGTGGCGGAAGCACCCCTCAGCCCGGGGGATTTGGGCAGCATCCCTGCCTCGGCCGTCCTAAATGGAGCCCTCTCCTCCCTGCCAGCAGCTCTGTCTTCAGTCTATAATCGCGTGTATTTCTTGCCAGAAGCACTACCAACTCTTTTTTCTCTTTCTTTCCTTCCGTGTCTCCATCCTCCCCTTTCCGTTTCAGTTTTTATTTTTGTTCTTATTTTTCTCCTTAGCTTTCATTCTCTGGTCATAGTCCATCTTGGCACCCTAACGTGGTGAGTATTTCATTGCCAGGGCCCGGCAGGGGTCCCGCTCTGCTTCCCGGAAGACACCTCGGCCCCTGCCCTGCCGGGGAGCTGCCCCCCCTGCCATTTGATGAACCGGAAGGCGTGACCCAGCATCCCCAAAAGGGTCGTTAGAAAGCCACCCGCGTCCTTCAACACCAGAAGTCCCTCCCTGGGGGTCAGGACCGGAGTCTTCCACTGTAGAAGCTGCAAGGTGCTCACCTTTCCTGAGCGGGAAGGAGAGCAGGGTCCACCCCCCCAACCCAGCGTAGCAGAAACGTGCAGGACCCTCTCTAGGTGGTCTTTCTGCTTCGGTGGCACTAGGCAGCAGTTCCTGGGGACAGACATGGTGGTTCTGTGATTCATCCTCATTCTTTTTTGGGTGCTGCTGAGTACAGGCTTGGGTGGTGCTGGAGATTCAGCCAGGAGGGCTGGGTCTCCCTGCCAGGCTAGGGCGGCCTAGGCCGGGGTAGCTGGAGTCTGCAGGTCACGGCTGCTGCTGTTGCTACCATGGCACCCGCCAGCATAAATGTCTGCCTCCTTCCAAACTGGAAGAGGGACAAGTAGGACGTCACATCATCGTTCACCTCGGTCCTCGAGTCCCCACCCTTCATCAGGTCCCGAGAGGAGCTTCCCCTGGGGGCAGGGATCTTCCTCTCCACACAGCCCCTCGCCCCTCACCCCTCACCCCGGCCGAGCGGAGCCTCCCTGACATCCTCTGCACATAGCCCCTCACCCCTCACCCCGGCTGAACGGAGCGTCGCTGACTCTGCACTCTACACTCTACATTTCTTTTCTTCCAGCCCCACGTTGAATCGGACCCTTTTCCTCCAGTGGGACCTGAGAGCAGGGACAAAACGGGACGTCGCGTCTCCATCCTGAAGACCCAGGGGGTCTTGGTCTCTGCACGCCCGTCCCGTGGAGGAAGAGTGAGAAGGGGCAGCATGTGCAGCGCAAGCTGCCGTCCGCGTGGGATGCGCCAGGACTAGAACTGGCTCTGCCGACTCTCGGGGGCTTCTCTGGGAGAGGCCCGGCCTTGGCTGCTGGACCCTGGTCCCTCCTCCTGGACGGCAGTCCTCATCCCAGTTCCAGGGATGTGCAGCATTCCCTGCCAAGCAGGGGTGAGAACTGCTTCTGTGTGAAGCACCAGCCTCGGGTCCTCTCCTCTCTCTTGGTCCTCACAGTAGTTGCCACCAGTGTCTGGAGGAAGATTTTCAGAAACGACAGAGGCATGGCCCAGTGACAAGATGAAGGCTGTGACTGAGCCGCCTGGATGGTGACCTTCATTCAAGGAGGCTCCCTGGATGGTCCTGGGAGGGCTCCCCAACACCTCAGTGGCCCCTCCAATGCTGCAATGTGTTTCTGGGGTCCTGAACACCTGCTGGCCAACAGACCCCACACCCACCCTCCTTCATTGTCATCTCTGTGGGGACAGACAAGAGCCGTGGCCGCCATGGGCCATGGGGTGCCCTCAACCCTCTGCCTTCCTACCCAGCCTGAGACAGGAAGGCCGCCAGCTGGGAGCACCACGGGACTGATCCAAGGAAGGCGTGGGGAGTGTGGTGACAGGAGATGGGACGAGGGGGCAGAGCCAGCTGGAACATGGATGCCAGAGGCTGCCTCCGTAGTGCATCTCCAGAAGTCACAGAGGCCCTGAGCGCCCAGAGCCACCTGAGCCACCTGAGCCACCTGGCCTGGAAGCCCCTGCGCAGGCCAGACCTGCAGGCCATGGACCCCAGCAGGAACCGAAGCCTCACCCCAAGCCTTCATACACAAGGAGCAGCCCAGGTGAGGGACGGCGGATGCACCTGTGGCTCTACTGGTGCAAGAAGGGAACCGTCGTCCAAGAAGCTGACAGGTAAGGGCTGCTGTCTGTCCACAGGGACGGCCTTTTCCCTCCTGCCCTGTGTGGTGACCCTGCACAAGCTGACACACCCCCTTCCTGGCCTGCTAATTCTGCTTAGAGAACTCAGCCCCATTTGAGATGAGAATTAAATTTGCTGGCGCACCCTCCCTGCGAGGTGAGCCCCAGCTTCTCCTGCACACCTCTGTGTCCCAGTCTGCACATGTGTGGCTCTGCCACCCCCTCCACTGCTGGCCGTCAAGATCACCTCTCCCGTCACGCATGGGACAGGGCCTGGGGGCTCGTGTGGACTGTGGCCTGAGCTGTTGCTGGGGGCAGGGTCTGCAGACACAGTGCCCCACAGGGACCTGGCATCTGGCACGGCTGGCCGTCCTCCCACTTGCGGGAAGAGGCTTGCAGAAAAGGGAGAAACCCTGTAGGTGCGTCGAGGCCGCTCTCCGAGTGCACCCCCTTCTGCTGCTCCCGTGCACTTGACCATGAGCGCCGTCCCTCACTCAGACCCAGCACCTGAGGTGTCCGCTCTGGGGAGGCGACTCTGGTTGCTCCCAGCAGGGAAGGAGGTCAGGACTGGGCGGGGCGTGCTCCACTGCGGAGCTTTCCTTGCCAGCAGGGTTCCCTACGGGAGAGTTTGAAGATCGGTTGTGTCTGTGGGGCTCTGGGGCAGGGTGAGCTGGTTCTTGGGGAGGCAGTGGCAGCCCCATGAGGGGCCGCCCAGAGAACGCTCCACCTCCCCCACCTCTGACCCACACCTATGGGGTCCAGCCCTACGGGGATTAGCAGGTGTTCTCCCCATGTGTGGAGATGAGAGATTGTAAGAAATAAAGACAAAGAGATAAAGAGAAAACAGCTGGGCCCGGGGGACCACTACCACCAAGACGTGGAGACCGGTAGTGGCCCTGAACGGCTGGGCACGCTGATATTTAGTGCATACAAGAACAAGGAGGCAGGGTAAGGAGGGTGGATCTTCTAAGTGATTGACAAGGTGAAGCGAGTCACGTGATCACAGGACAGGGGGCCCTTCCTCTTAGGTAGCCAAAGTAGAGAGGGAGGGCAGCATACATCAGCGTTTTCTTCTCTGCACTTATAAGAAAGATCAAAGACTTTAAGACTGTCACTATTTCTTCTACCGCTGTCTACTACCAACTTCAAGAGGAACCAGGAGTACGGGAGGAACATGAAGGTGGACAAGGAGCGTGACCGTTGAAGCACAGCACCACAGGGAGGGGTTTAGGCCGCCAGATGACTGCGGGCAGGCCTGGATAATATCCAGCCTTCCACAAGAAGCTGCTGGAGCTGAGTGTTCCCCGACTCCTCCAAGGAAAGGAGACTCCCTTTCACGGTCTGCTAAGTAACGGGTGCCTTCCCAGACACTGGCGTTACCACCTGACCAAGGAGTCCTCAAGTGGCCCTTACGTGGGCGTGACAGAAGGCTCACCTCTTGTCTTCTTCGTCACTTCTCGCAATGTCCCTTCAGCACCTGACCCTGTGCCCACTGGTTATTCCCAGGTTATATTAGTAATGCAACAAAGAGTAATATTAAAAGCCGATGATTAATAATGTTTATAATAATGATTGATAATTGTCCATGATCATCTCTATATCTAATATGTATTATGACTATTCTTATTCTAACTATTTTCTTTATTATACTGAAACAGTTTGTGCCTTCAGTCTCTTGCCTTGGCACCTGGGTAATCCTCCACCCACACAAACCCTGTCCGAGAGCCAGCTGTGTCTCCTGCAGTGGGCAGCGGCCATGGGCCACAGGCATTGTTGTTCCTGGGAGATGCTCCCCTGCATAGAAAATGGGAGGGGGAGGAGGCGGTGTGACCATACTCTCAGCTCAGGAGCGGGCAGCAGCTCCGTCTTCACCCTCAGCTCAGGAGCGGGCAGCAGCTCCGTCTTCACCCTCGATTCAGGAGGGGCAGCGGCGAGGAGGAGGTACGAGGGGGGCAGCAGCTCCATCTTGCAGGTCCCCTGGGGCACATTCTCCAGGCGCATTGTGGATAAGGCGTTGTCCTTGTGTGGGTCGGGACCTGGGCACCAGGCAGGATCTGGTTCCTGAGGTCCCAAGTGCGCCCAGGCACAGCCTCAGGCCAGAAAGTTCTCTGCAGGGGTTCATTCTAGAAGGAGTGGGAGGTCAACAACCCCAGCCCTGTCCAAGGACACCCGCTGCTTGGCACAGGAGGGCACTACAGGCCCACCAGCCCTCAGGACACGGAGGGCACTACAGGCCCACCAGCCCTCAGGACACGGCTCCCACATCCCCAGGGACTTCTGCTCCCACAGCAAAAGCTGGAGCTCCAAGCGGGGCGTCTCTAATTGTGCGGCAAGGACAGCGCAGCTAGAGGTCGGGAGCTCCACTGCCTCCAGCGTCCCCGGAGGGTGGTGGGGGGCAGTGAACACCCCACAGCGCAGCGACACACACGGTGTGGACATACACACGACCCCGCGGACGCTTCCCGGCTGCCTCACTTCCACCCCCGCGGACCAGGCCTCACAGCGGGGGCAGGTGGACCATCTAGGCCATGCTGAACCCCGAGCAGTTCCCCACAACAGGTCACAGAAGGACTCCGGGCTAGGAGAAGGGGGCCTGGGGAGCAGGGTCCCCGCACAGCCGCCCTCGGTGACATCTGGGACGTGGACATGAATGGACGACGTCCCTGGATGGGGCCATTTCCTGGGTCCTGGAGCTGGAGGTGACGGAGCTTCTCCTGCTCCCAGCGTGTGCCCGTAGGGTGGTCAGAGTAGACGGGCCACACCGTCATCAGGGAAGGGCAGCTGGCCAGCAATGTGCAGACTGTGCCTCAAGCCCGTGGGCACAGTGGGGACAGAGGTGGGCAGGTGCTTCTCCACCTGGGGGCTGACAAGCTACGGGCACATCGTGGACAAGGCGTCTGTGCGGCTCTGCGGGGAAGACCGCTCTCCTCGGCCAGGCCCACCAGCCTCCCAGGGTCAGGGAGCGAGCCTCGAACGCTAGACCCGGCAGGAAAACATACGTGAGCCAATGGGCCCCAAACCGTCGCGTTGCACCAGGCGGAGACCTCAGCCCCAGATGCTCACCCAGGGCTGTCGCCCGATCCTGCAACTACCCCCGAGGGGTGGGGAGACCTGTGAGCGGAAACCTGTCCCCGTCCGGAGCGCTGGCAGCAATGCCCTCTTCAGCTTGTTCAGTCGAGGGAGGAGAGGAGAGCGATGCCTTCGCGGGCTCCCTTGGGGGAAGCTACAGAGCGGGGGCATTGGGCTGAGGCCCCCAGCCCACAGGGCTCCTCTGAAGTGAGGCGGCTGTCATCCTCCCGGGATCCTCCCACCGTGTCTGGTCCGAGCGTGCGGTATCCAGCGTGAGTTCGAAGGGTGTCACGAAAGAGCTACTACCTACATTTGCAGCCAGCAAGGGGCTTTTGTGCCCTAGTTCCCACTCGCAGCCCGAGACCACCAACCCCACACCCATAGGAAGCAGAGGGCCGCTCACCCACAGCCCAGCAGGTGCACTGTGTGCCCTGCCCTATGGGAGAGGAACCGCCACAATGTCTGATTGAGCGTATTTTTGCACAGTAAATGAGACGTGAGATGTTGCTGTGCTGTCTCAGTGAGCATCTCCCTTCTCTCCAATTAGCTTTTTTCCCCAACTTTTTATTTTGAAATAATTTTAGACTTAAAATTGCACAAATTGTGTAGAGAGTCCTGTGTGCCCTTCACCCTGCTTCCCCTGATGTTCCTGTCCTGTCTTGTCTTGTCTTGTCTTTTTTTGGAGATGGAGTCTTGCTCTGTCACCAGGCTGGAGTGCGGTGGCACGATCTTGGCTCACCGCAACCTCCTCCTCCTGGGTTCAAGCAATTCGCCTGCCTCAGCCTCCCAAGTAGCTGGGATTACAGGCAGGCGCTTGCCAGCACGCCCGGCTAATTTTTGTATTTTTAGTAGAGATGGGGTTTCGCCATGTTGGCCAGGATGGTCTCGAACTCCTGACCTCATGATCCGCCTGCCTCGGCCTCCCAAAGTGCTGGGATTACAGGCGTGAGCCACTGCGTCCAGCCTGTCCCTGTCTTACATAATCATGATACATTTTCAAAACTTTGCCACAACCTGGGTTCTGGTTTCTGGTTTCTGGTTTCTCCAGGTTTCCTCCTGGCAAATGCTCCTTTCTGTTCCAGGATCCCACATTGCATTCACTCATCCTGTCTCGGTAGTGCCTGCCGTCAGTGACAGGTTTTTAGTTCTTCCTCATCACTCTTGGCCTTGATGCTTGGATAAGAACTAGCCGGTTATTTTATAGGTTCCTCAGGAGGATCTGCCTGGCCTGTGATTCTGTGGAGGTAACGCATCTGGGGGGAATGCCCCAGGAGTGATGGACCCTAAGTACCACACCAGGGTGCCCAAGGTGGGCGTATTTCATCACTGATGCCGTAACCTTGATCATCTGGCTAAGGGGGTGTCTGCCAGGGTCTCCACTGAGGAGCCCTGTGTAATCTGTGCGTGTACTGGGAGAGATTTGCCGAGACTGAAAAGACCACACTTCTCCGTGAACGTTGGCCAGATCTCTGCACCTGTTGGTGGATCTTCCCTGTAGCACTTCTTCCTGTGGGGACGTCCTCTCCCCCTTCCTTCTATTTCATTGGTTAGAATTTTCCTATAGAGAAGACCTGCCCCTTTTCTCCTATTTCTTTGCCTATGTATCGCACTGTGTGCATCCGGCCGTTCAGTCTGTCCCTGGGTCATGGCCCAGTGAGGCTGTTAATGTCTCCTCACCCAGATGCTGCCGCAGAGCCTCCAGCGCTCCTCCAGGCTGGCGCCCTGCAGAGCACTCTCTTTCTCTCTGTCCCCACAAGGCAAGGTCCATAACTCCTTCCCCAAGAAGCTCTGGCTTCTGTGTTGGAGAGCAGTGTTCAGAAACCAAGGTCTCTAGACCAGGGTGTGCTCGTTGCTACTGGGGTGACAGTATTTCCAGGCCCTCTCAGAGACAGCCTGGAAATACGTGTGCAAACCAACCTGTGCAC